AAGCCCCACGGATTATCGCCGAGAACCAAAATGGCTGCTGGTTTGTCGGCGAGTGGTATTACAAAGGGTCGCGTCACCCTAGCAAAGCGCACATGAAGGCTGCCTAGTTTTACCGAGATACCGAGCCATTGAAGCGGGCGTTGACGACCCTACACAGAGGGCTATGTTGGGGACAAGGACTCAGGAGCAGCTAAAATGGCAATAACCTGTCTTGCCCTGGCAATGAAGAAGTGAAGCGAACGAAATAAGACGAAACAAAAACTGAAAATCGGTTATGGCGGCACCGATGCACAGATGCCTGAAAGCGTTTATGCAGCCTAGAGTTTGTTCTGCCTCGACGGGCGACGACTCTCCCAGCTGTAGATGAGAAATTTAGCCAGTGCTGTACAACCGCTAGCCTGGGGTCTTTAACGTGCACCACGCAGTAGGGATACACGACCGCAGGCCGGTACGATGCTCATTTAGATTAAAACGGGCAGGGGTAAGGATTGAGCCCAGGATTCCTTAAAGTCCCTTAATGTTTCAAAACTAGCACAAGATGCATCGATGCACGAGGCACGTGCAACGTGCAGCCCTTGGGAAGGTCATGGCGGCACAGCGCAGCACTGAGTTATATTTGAGACGCCATGTACTTTACCACCGTGACTTTACAGAAGTGGAACGCGGCACGTGTCTCGAGCATTTCCACAACAATGAATGGTGTCACTTTTCCCAGGATAGAGGAGCTTTAGGATCCCTGGGTTCTGCAGCGCGAGCTTTCGGTCCACGTGCTCCGAGCTGGTGTGCGCTAGCCCACTCGGCCTCCTATCCCCCTCGCCACTGCGAGGGGCGCTGCGGTGTGCAGGCGAGTCGTTTTCATCGCCAATCTGGGCAGCCCTTGGCTCCTGCCCGTCACACTTCCCCTTCCAACCACCGTAGCTTCAGGAATTGCGGCTGCACGAAATCCAGCTTCACGACATCCTGACGAACTCGCCGAATAACGTTTCACGTTAAAATAGCGTTTAGACGAGCCGACTCAACCACAGCCAGGCCCCTGTAACTCTTTTTTTTTCCCGCGTCAGTCGTTTTTTTTAAAGTTTTTTTGCTGTCTTTTTTTTGTTGTTGTAGGAGTCTGTTCCACAAAGGCAAAGTTGTGCACAGATGTTTCACAATGCGAGCGCTGCTCTTGTTTCAAGACGCGCTTTTGGAGGCTTCGTTTGCCGTCGATTCAATCGCCAGCTGGCTTCCACAAAACACCGTCAATAAGAATATAGTATTTATTACGCGAAAACATCATTTTTTTGCCGTTGCATTTGCAGCTAAGGTTAGAGGCGCTCGATTTGGATGTTCCGTGTCTTGGTCGCGCGTTAGAAACTCCCCTTGACCTGCCGCAGTGATCGCGACTGTTGTCCTCCTGTGAAATGTCCGCTCTAGGTCAACACCATCTATAGAACTTTTTCGCTTACTCTCGTCCCCAGCCACCTGATAAGTATATTTGGTATGGGCGACGAAAATATAATAAAACATATAAAACTGGAAATAGTAAAAAAAAAAAAAAAAGAGGAGGGGTTTTCTAACAGAATAGGTGACGGCCGCGCTTATACCCTTGGCGTGGCGACGGCAAAGCAATGTTTGCGCTCATACTGGAAGTGACGATATTTCAAGATGGTGGCGTCCTTGTGAAAAAAAAAAGGTCTCTAGACCAGCTTAACTCACTGACGTCACGCCACTGCTCTGATGGCGCTGCTTTCGTCACTGCGCATACGCACATACGCTTCACTCTTCCCAAATTTCGGTTTCTCTATGCGTTGTGTTGGTCTATAATAGTCGGCAGTTCGACGATGGAGCCACGGAGTGCCCGGTCGAAGATTTGGAGCGCGAGGATCTGGTAGCGCAGAGCATCAAAGAGCCGTTCCTCGGGTTGGATGGATGAAGGGATGAATCCGGCTGAGCCCCTTGGATCGGGCGGCAGCTTACGCCACCTAGCCGTTTTGTTTCACCATTTAGACTTAGAATATTTAAATGTGAAAACTATATTCACTCCGGACTGCAAAGAAAGTGAGGCTATAAAACCCTCTTGCCATCAGTTAATAAGAAAGCATCTAGTTTTCTCTCGCTTTCTGCCACCATTCACTTCATCTTTGCTTGGTAATCTCTACTGTCTTGAAATTTAATCTTTCTTCGCTGTCTCTAAAACCCAATGACTTTATTAAATCTATGTTGTCTTCGGTAGGCATAGGGTGAAGTCTTTTACAGCAGAATATCAAGTGTTCAGCCGTCTCGTCCTCCTCTCCACAAGGAGTGCACACTGTATCAATTTCCGGGAACCTGTACGTCAGCGCACAGCTTTGGCAGCGGTGAGGACCCGAAACCCTTTTGTTTGCAAGGAGACATGTATTTCGGCGTCTCACCGCAGAGGGGCGCTAGTCACGTGGTTCTCCTTTCATCGGTTGTTTGCCGCTCCACGTTTTCGATTTCGGCGGCCGCTTCTGTGTCAGAATGTAGGAAGCTATGTGCAGGTACGCACTCTGCCAGGACAAAGCCCAGTCACACTAACGCATTGCGTCATCTAACAGTTAAAAAAAAAAAAAAAACACGAGTGAAAAATATAAAACTATCATTGGCAGAAACAGACACCAAAGTAATAACGTTATTAAAACATTCATAACAATGACAATGCTAAGCACAATGCTGTTTTAAAATGAATTGTAAACTATATTCATTACGTCGGACACGTCAGGAGAGATCTGTTTACACGGCTTTTGTAGCAATAATAAAGAAAACTCTATTTTGTAGTATTTGAATAGTATCTGGATGATTGTTTCATAAATAAGGTAACAAATGTGCCGATGTCGTATTTCCGTGGGTCGTCCTTAACCGCGGCAATTTGTAGGATTTGCGTCTCAAATTATATTCAATATTACTCCGACCGTATATCTCAATGAAGGTTGTTTGGTCTCTAATTACGTCATTTTCTATATAGTTAAAGAGTTTCAGATAAAATAATTGGTTAATCTTAAGCTAATTGTCCTTTATGAAACACGGAGAAGGATATGGCTTACGCGTATAAAATATTCGATACAACGTACTGTCATTTTTTTCGGGATAAAAATCCTTTTTAAATTCGTCTAAATTGTAGAACCAAGTACTAATAAACAACACTGGAGATGAGACTGTACTAAATAGTAGTATAACCGAAGCATTACCTAGCTTCGAATCAATGATGTAACTTTGTAAAATATGCCAATGGCTTGACAGATAGTGACACGAATCTTATTGATGAGCAGGTTCAATGATACATTTTCTTCATAAATAACACCTACAAATTTATAAACGGGGGACTTGACCAATTATACAAATTCAAAATTACAAAAAAATAGCGCATTTATTGAATGTGTTTCGTAGCTTAAATATCACTCATTTAGTTTCGTTAGCGCTCAACTTAATTTTGTCAACGTTTGTCATGACCAATATCTTGCAGCGAAGATTGTAAGCAAGAATGAATTGGCAAAACCGCTCCTCCGCTAAGGCCGAACCGGTCTTTTCGGTAAGCAATGACTCTTTTGGAAAGATTTCACTACCTGCAATAGACTGGTTTAGACATGATTATGTTCCCGACTTGGTTTGGCTTGTCATGTATCCGCTATGGATCAAACATTTAGCCGGTGCCGTACAATTTATCGCGCAGTGGTGGTAAACGACTGCACGCCTTCTACTGTTCTCATCCAGATTACAACGGACACGGGTTAAAATTGAACCCAACTAGCGAGATTATCAGTTGCTTGAACTGCGTTCGCTGGGATTGAAACACGGTTGTAACCGACCGCATACGCGAGGTGGAAGGCGCATCACGTTTTGGAAATGGTATATTGCCTGCAATCAAGGAGATTATTTTCACTACGCACTGAAGCATCTTTGCGCATGAGCTTCCCAGCTGAGCAAGCCGTCCTCCAATCATGGTGCGCCTTGGAATAAGGACAGCGAATGGCGAGCCCCAGATGCTCATTCACAGTGTGCAAATCGCCTTTTCGGTGTGGGAGACTTACCTGGACTTTGTTATCTGCTGGCCTCCTTCCAAAACCAGCAATGATTGGGGCTAGACATGCTTTGCAGACAAGCACCGACACTACAATTTTTCTAGAGTGCAAGAAACGCTGGACGGGGCCATACATTTTATTTATTTATTTTAAAGACACTGCCGGCCAACTTTTGATTGCCAAGGCCTGGAATAACCGAAACAAATAAAAAAAAAAGCAGAAAAAAAGAAAACAGCTGACACCATGTAGGAAGACGAGCAAGCAGCTGAGACCGTGGAGTTCATTCTAACGCAGAAAAATTCATCAGTGGCAATTCACTCTAAAAAATGTCTGTGCGTCTAGTTACCCGCAAAAGACTCAAAGACCCAATCTCTGCTATCTACGAATTGAGCTCAGCGAATGTTGAGGCAGAATATTCGTTTGGTTCTAAAAACGAAGTCAGCGCTGTGGCATTCCAAAATGTTACTGCCGTCTCAGTGCTTAATATCAGCACGAATGAGCGCTATAGTACACAACCACTTTTTTTCGGGACGGGCCCTCTTCTGAATTCTGGGACACTTTTCAAACCAAGGGTAATATTTGGAATTGCAAATTTTTTACTTGTTGCGAGCATTTAATATGGGATGATTTGAGGAAAACAGTTGATAACAAACGATAAATAACGAAAAGCGCGACACTTGCGATCATGACAGACTGGGATACGTCTCAAACTTGGGACTGCGTCGGTGTCTTTGCTCATGTTCGACTACGTGTCGCTCGTTCTTGTGTTGTTCGTTGTGTATCAGTTGTGGAGTGTGCAGAATGTTACATACATAATGCTTCATAATTTTTTTTTGTACATAAAATCGTGTCTCCTTCTATCCTTTTTTGTTATATCAGACACTGTAAGGTAGTGTGTGGAGAACAAACTAAAGAAACAAAGGCAACCGCTTGTGTTACTCGCGGAAGTTGCTGACTACAAGGAAAAATTTGGTGTCAAGGGAGATGTACGTGAGTGAATGGCGCCTGCCGACACTATTGGTCCTCATGCAAAAACAAAGCGACGTGTAAGTAAAGTTCATTATTTTGACATAACTTATCATATGACTATGTCGACGAGAGACGCATGTTGAGAACTGAGAGGTCCGAGCGAGGCCCACGCCTAACTTGTTTTGTTTCCAGGGCTTCAACGCCGATGCTTGCGAAGACAATGCCAGCATTGGTTACCACATGGCGGTGATGGAGAAGGAAGCTGCGAAAGTGACCCTTGATCTGGACCTTATAAAGGACCGGACGAAAATGACATTTAATACGCTACCTACGTTGATAACCCAAGGGGCTGGCGTGGGAGCTGTTCTGGACGAATTCCAAGCGGTCAAGATTGCCGGAATGGTAAGTTATAACTACTATAAACATTTGTTTAGCGGCGGCTCACTCTACTAACATCATGTAAATTTGACAGGTTCGCCAGGATTCCCAAATTGAGCTTGGCATATATATATATATATATAATCGGGGCCGTAACAAACAGAATGAAATCAGTTCAAGACTCTACACTGCTATTACTTAAGGGAAGGAATGTCGCCATCGACTTCCAAGATCTCAGCAAGGATATAGCTTGATAAAACATATTAGTACAGGCGTCACGACAGCTCAACTTTAATATACATATATATGATACCTGATTGGGCAAGGAATACGTCGCGCACATAAAGTGTACCTATCCCCATCGCGAGCATCCCCGGTTATGGCAGAGTATCGCCTGAGTGATCAGCGGAATAAACAGCCTGCTCTGCAATGTAAGGTGTGCAGTCGCTCCGCGAACACACCCCTCTCTTTGGTACTAAAGAGAGTGCGCGAACGCTTGCCAAACATTAAGCCGATATCTGTTTATACAAGCGCGACATAAGATAGACTTCGCTGCTACAAAGATGCAGAGTGGTGCAATATTGTTGCATAGTTTGCGTTTCATAATTAATCAAATAATATTGCTGAATATATTGCAATCAACTCAAAACTGGAGCTTGTTCTATTTGTTTAAAGACCAGAACTCTAAATACGATTTGTTGTAGAGAAGGACGTGATGAATATTGAAATAGCAAAATTATAGCCATCACAAGAGAGCGCCCGAGGGCGGCTTTGATGTGGTAGTATGAGCTGCTTGTTTCTACAAGTACGGGGATGGCTACCGCGTTGACGTGAATTATTAACGATTTGTCTGCATCCTGAATACGGAGATGAAATAGTCTTGAAGTACAAATTAAACGAGCTCTTTGTTCGCAGTTTACTGTATATCCGAAAACGCAGCTATTTCACTTCATAATAAATTCTTTGTTTTGTACATGAAGTCATTTCAAATGTCGAAATGTATAAATTATAAGTACAGATTATGTGTTTGCAGATAATCCAGGAAGTGTCGCCTTCCTGAACCCGCCATTGGTGTTCCATGAAAAGAGGCACCTGCTCTTTACGTCTAACAATGTGAATTAATTGGTCTCATTTATTTTTATTTACGTATGCTTAATATTTTTTATGAAAAATACAATTTCGAGGCCGTATTTAAACGTAATCAAGGTATGCTTTGATTTCAAAGGTACAGGGAATATAAACGACACGTAACTTGACCGGACCATAGAAATCCTCAGGTATAAATAAGGGCATGTATTTGATTGCATGTTATCTGTTTTGACAGTTGCAGAACGTTAGTGTGTTGACGCCGATCATTCTAGTCAAGGAGGATGCATTTTGGGTTTTCGTATTTCGCTCACCAGATGTCAGTATTTTTGTATGTTTGCGTTGAATAATAGGCAAAGTAAAATATGTAAACTGAACAAGTATCTTGATTTTTATACAGCGTGATTCAAGGAGAGGCCAGACTCCTTAAATCGACCGCAAAATTTGGTTTCTTAACCTATCGCGCTACGACTTTGTGCAGCGTTGCCTACAGATGGTGCATTTTTTTCGTAAAATTAGCAAAGAGCGAATCTACGCGAGGAAAAAGTAAAGAAAGAAAATGGCTTAGTTCCTATGGAAACGCAGCGACGCCACCGTTCTTCAAACAACACGGCGCCGTTTCGGATAGGAGACAAGAGATGGCGCAACGAACGCCGCCAACGAACGAGCATATGGCGCCGAGAGCCGGCGTCCGTAGCAGACGATCTTTTCGACTCAAAAGCGGTGCGCGTTCCGCAGGCGGCGACAGTCGCAGAAACAAAAACGGGTGCGGTAACAACTGCTAAAGACGCCGGCTCTCGGCGTCGTATGCTCGTTTGTTGGCGGCAGTTGGCGTCGCGACCGCCTGCTCTTGTCTCCCGTACGAAACGGCGTCGTGTTGTTTGAAGACCGGTGGCTTCGCTGCGTTTCCATAGGAGCTAAGCCTTTTTCTTTCTTTACTTTTTCCTCGGGTAAATTCGCTCTTTGCAAATTTTACAAAAACAAAACAAACAAAAAATAAAATGCACCATGTGCGGCCAACGCTGCACAAAGTCGTAGCGCGATAGGTTAAGAAACCGAATTTTGCTGTCGATTCAAAGAGCCTGGCCTCTTCTTGAATCATCCTCTATTTATTCGCTTTGGCCACTCAATAGACGCTTTTGAGAATATTAAAGATGTTCTAAATAATAGTAGATGACTCGCAAAGGGATCCACACAGATGGTTTTGTTAATCAAAAAAACAAGCCTCTATTGCGATATACGAATCAGGTTCAATAAAATGGTTATTGTAAGAAACTGAGTTACGGGTTTTAGTTGAGCTAGTTGATACATACTGTTGGTATGCTGGCGTTGTGAATGCCCAGTCCTTTCCTTAGTGTTCTTGTTTTTTCCGAGTTCAGCTGACATGATTGCCAACAATATTTTAAGAAGCCGCGAATTTTGGATTTATTGTCAAGTTGGCAAACACCCTTTATGGTACAATTAAGAATTTATAATAATGTGGCTGAAACGCGATAATGGATATAAGGCACCCATGAAACGCTCAATAAGAGAGCCAAATAAGATTCGATAAAAAACCAATGAAATTGTTATTTTAGAAAACCATAAATGGTTTAGAAAGATCCTATTGTAAGGTGGCCAGAAGAACCACTAACGGTTCTATACTGCACCGATGAACATCCAATAAAAAGATCCTAATAACGCTGCGCGAAGAACCAACGAAATCGTACTTTCAAAGAGCGCTAAATGGTTTCAAAAAGAACCCATAAAACGTTTAAGAAGAATCCAATTATGGTTCAGCCAAGAAGCTGTAAAAATATCTCTTTTAAAGTACCATTATTGAAGCCAAAAGTAACCATGCATAGGGCTCTGCTATAGATCCGAAAAATAATTAATTAAGAACCTTAAAATTGGGTTTATCAGAAGAACCAATAATGTGGGTTCTTTCCGAAAACTTTAGAGGTGCCGCTTATCGGACAAGTGAAATAACCACAAAAAATTCTTTCAAACATTTTTTTTAGTGTGTACAGTGGATGTTAAACAAACATAGTGTTCTCGCAGCCGATCATTTATTCGGATTTTGTCGTCCAGTCGGTTCAACATAGCATCGTCCACAGTCTACAGTGTAGGGGAATGCTATATGCAACGCCCGACAAACAAGAAACAAAGGGCCGCGCATGTTTTTTGATAATTTTTCCGCTTTGGCGCGAACCTTATAACAAATTTGTCGAATTTTGTAGGGGCTGATAGTACAACGGGCTCACCATACCTACTTGCCACTTGTTTCAGATTGTGCGATATTTCGTGTAGATATGGTATAACCGCCACCCGTTTTTTGTCAACAGGGCGCCTAGTTTTTTTTACCTCTTTTTACCTTCTTTACCAATGTTCCTATTACTTTTATTACTGCCTGATTTGGGACACTTGAAGGTTGATTTGACCCAAGAGGCTCCCATTGAGGGCATGGGCACATGACTATTTTAGAGCTGAAGTGAGGCAGGAGGTAGCTTTGGGGGGGGGGGGGGGGGGTTGACTCTCTTCACTACCTTGGAGTGCGAGAATGTGTAGAGAATAATACCTCTTTTTAGAACGGGGTGAGAATAACCAGCACAGGTGATTGGCGTGCGATCAGAGGAAAAAGGTCTAAGAATTGCAACACCCCTTTTTAGGCTACTGAAAAGTAAAAGTGAAGCCAAAACGGCATGTTTGAAAAATGTCCATAATCGAACTAACTATATCGTGATCCGCAGTACAGTAAAAGAAAATCATTAGCATATCTGAACACGTTGGAAACTGGCGTGGATTCAATAGCTAAAGCAATAGCACGGCCGATTCTCGCAATGAAAATAGCACCTAAGACTGGCGCGACACAGGACCCAATACACCCCGCCGCCCCCAATCTTTGTAAAAATACCCTGTTTTGCCATCCGACGAATGTGGAACCTAAATAAAACTGCATGTTGCTCAAGAAAACTGCCTGTACACACCCCACTTGAGTTCCGGAAAGAAAGTTATTATTGGGATTCAATGCAGGCCCTGACTGAGCTAAGTAAAGCATCACGAGGAATGGACTTGAAAAGGTATTGCACATCTACGCTAAATACTCTGTGGTTGGAAAATATATTTGTCATTAAGGTTTCAACTACAGTTTCAGAACTCTGAACCAAAAAGGGATCCCCAAACCGCAAACTGGAGAGGTGTTTTTCTAGATAGGCCGTCATTTGTCATTGCCTCGAACCCCTTTCAGTGACTATAGCTCGGAAAGGATAGGGTTTATTGTGCGTTTCGGCACTAAAAATACCTCCAGGATTTGTTAGTGCCGAAACCCGTCGAAGTTTTGATGTTGGCTGCCAAATCTGTCAATGAAAACCTCTCCCAGAGACGTAGGACTTGTCTCCTAACCTTCGTGTCTGGCAGCAGTGGTCGAAAGTTATTTTGCACGGCTGTACATGCCTTTTTCAATATAGGCGCCTTCGGGCATGATCAGAAAAAAACCTTTTTTTATCGAATTCCAAAACACGTAGTTGATTGTCCACCAAAACGTTAACCAGCGGCCTAGGATCCGGATTCTGCACTCGTTTCGAGGTAGTAAGAGTGTCAACACATTCGGACACACAACGTAGCCTAACCTCTTCATTGGTCTTGTATGACACTTTTCTTGCGAAGGTTAACTAGCAGCGCTGGAGGAGGTAGGTCCGGCTAATGCAAAACTTGGGGCCAAGACCAAGTGTTTTTAAAGTTTCAGGGGAACCTCAATATCTCCAAGGTTGGTGAGTCGCCCAGACGTTGCAACAGCTCTTTGCTTTTTGGGCTGGTTTTGTCGAACTCTCTGCCACGAAATCTCGGTGACGTCACCTACCGTCTCGCTCATTTTTGAAAACATCCTGCGTTGTTTCTAGAAATTGCCGACACTGACACCAAAGGCAACCCGGAAGCACTCCTTGAAGAACCGTGCCTGA